TATTCAATTATTAATTTAAGATTTGTCAGAAAATTCAAATAGGCAAACCATGAAATTTTCACAGGTATTTCTAGTAATAGTTATTGTCATAAAAAGTAGAATCCACCTGCCAAGTTAAATTCTCACAGTCTTTCATTTTGTGCCATTTGCCTTTGAAAAAACATGAATTTATCTTCCTCAACCTGTGGGTTAAATAGTAGGGGTAAACTGGGCTCTCTTGATTTGAGTGACAACCATTCTATAATAAGGAAACTCTGAATTCAAACCCTAGTAAACATTTAGGAAGACTGGGCTCTTCAGCCTTGATAGCCTCAGAGAATTAACCAGCCTGTAGAGAAATGGCCTGTCAGATTATTTGGCCCTACACACACCCACTGCTGCCATGACTGAAGTACATCTGATGCCCCTACACACACCCACTGCTGCCATGACTGAAGTACATCTGATGCCCCTACAACCCTAATTAATAGCTCGAGCAACATACATACTAAAGAGTTGTAATTAATAGCTAGTTCTTCATTGTACAAAATGTTAAACAGTATTTTGAAAATAGTCATTTTCTTTGAAAAGCTAATTAACTTTTCAATTGCAAAAGAAAACCAAACCTTGCCTTTTTTTTCTTCTATTATTTATATTGCAATAACCTTTCTTATTGGTATTATAATTCTTCTTCTTCTTCTCTTTATGTGCCATGTCCTTTCAGTATGTGTAGCCGATCATGGTCCTCCTGTCCGTTGTAGTTATTTCTCCTAGACCTTGTTCTGCCATCCATTTGCTTAAGTACATTAAATATGTCACGTGTTGTTTTCCCCCTGTCCTTCTTTCCCTTTATTCAACCTGTGAGTATCAGATTTTCCAAGCCCTCCTTCCTCATTACATGTCCCAGTAATTTCAGCTGCCTCTTCCTGATGTTAAGTATAAGTTTCTACTTTGTTTCTATTCTCTACAAAACCTTGTCATTATTCACATGTTTGGCCCTTGGTATCTTTGGCATCCTTCTGTAGAACCACATTTCTGTTGCTTTGAGTCTCACCTTCATCTTTAAGGAGCTTGTTTAGCATTCACTGCCATACAGGAGGACATATATATCATGTAACAATACAGTACTCTTTGTTTCCAACAAAACTTTCTTGTCTCTTAATACTCTGCTTATCTTTTGGAATGGGTCTTTGGCTATCCCAATATGTCTTCGGATCTCAGGGTCACACTTTCTGTTCTGTTAGAAAACTTCCCAGATATTTAAATTTCTGTACCTGCTTGATTTTAGTGTCCCCAACTTGTAAATTGCATCTTGGGCTCATCATTTTTCTGATGGCCATGCATTTTGTCTTCTGTATGCTTAGTCCTTTCTTCTACTTTGCTACCTTGTAGAAGAAGGTTTGTAGTTTCCTTTCCATGTCTGCTATCAGCACTGTCATCTGTATATCTTATGAATCCTAGTAGGATTTCCAGTTCTCTCAGAATTGCCTTCCTGTATAGGTTGAATAAATCTGGTGAGAAGACACATCCTTGCCTTTTACCCTTTCTATTTTTGTATATCTGCTGAACTCATTTTTTTATCCATATGCAGGCGGTTTGCTGCCAGTAGAGATTTTTATTATTCTAATATCTTTCCCGAATATATCAAAGTTTCTGAGTGAATCTAACTGATCTTTGTAGTGTACTTTCTCAAACGCCTTTGATATAATCTATAAAACAGAGGGTACATGTTTGGGTCATTCAGGAGTCTTTTGTATTGCAATTTGGATGCTGCATTAGGCTTCATCAGTTTCCATAGTTTACATATAACAGGAAGGTGGTCACTTCTGCACTTGGATAGGTTTTGCAGTGAACAACTGTATTCCTTAATCTTGTTGATGGTTATGTAGTCAATTTGGTTTTTAGTTTCTCCTCTTGGATTTCTCCATGTCCGTAATCATCTTGGATATTCTTGGAACCAGGTGTTGGCTATTACTTGGCCATTGGATGCATTTTTCTCTTGTGTTCATTTCAGGTTCCTTGTCCAAATTTGCCAGCTATCTCTCTTGCCCTCTCCTTGCCTACTTTGGCATTCAGGCCTCCCATGATAATTATAACTTCTTGTGATTTAACTACAAGAATTCTTTCAGATAATTGACAGTATCCCAGAATGCTTTTCTTGATGTCTTGATCAAGTATCAATCCTACTCTTTTTTTTTTTTTTTTTCATTTTTCTCTCAGCTTACATATATAATCCTGTGGTTGTCACTGACAAAATATCCATTGTTTGGCCACCTAGTTTCACATACAGCTAAAATATTGGCATTTAACCTACTCATCTCCTGTTTTACATTTTCCAACTGGTCACAGTTGTTTTACATTCTATCATTCCATGTCCCAAGATTTATTTTTTGTTTGGTGTAAGCAGTCGCTAGATGACATTCCGATAACACCTGTCACTCATGTCGCTCCTTTCTGGATGAGGGATAGGTTCTGAGGATTTTTATTCCCTTTATGCCATTTGTGCTAGCAGTCACTGAATGATGGTCAAGTGACACCTGTTGCACATGTCCATCCTTACCGGGCAAGGAGTTAATTCCTATACACTTAACCATCTTCATGCCTTTAGGTTTCATAATTTGTTTGTTAATTGCCAATATATATATATTGAGATTAATAGTGAAGTGGTTTCCCATTGCCCTCTCCACAGTGGTTTATGGAAATCCTGCCTCTAGTTAGCTGGCTGTTGACTCATCTAGAGTTCTTTTACTCTTTGTTAGATCTTAATTTTTCCTCTTAATGGGCTGCTAACAACCCTTCTCACATGGAATGAAATAGCCACTTTAGTCACTGGCACTCGATAATGGGAATATATATATATATATATATATATATATATATATATATATATACACACACACACACACACACACACACCTGTATGCCGATGAGTAAAAAAAAAAAATTCTGGTCCCGGTCATCTGTTAGCAAGGAAAGGGTTTGTGGATCAGAGTTGGTCGGGGAAGAGAATAAAATAATTATTAAGTCTTTACTTAGTATAAGTCCAAATACTCAATATTTTTAAAAATATTGATCATTTAACTCAAAACATGAATAGTTCAGACATGACTGATTTAAACTAAAATTTAAACAGTCAAATACAACGCAGACCAATTCAGACAAAAATTAAAAATGGTAAACCTACCCCTAAAAGAATTTTCAAATAAATAATTAAAAAAATCCTGAGTTTAACTTCCAGTTATTTCTCACGACATGCTTACACAATAACTTATTTGGTAAAAGTGATTTTTGGTGCACAGGACTTATTCAGCATGTGATTTTTATCTGATCTTTTCAGTATATTAAGGGTGGGGGAGTTTATGAACCTTTCTTAGAACCATGAGTGAATGCCCAATTAAGGAAGAAATAAAAGATAAAAAATAAGTAAAAAAGCAACAAAAAAGGCAAAAAAACACCATGCCTATTAAATATTTAGATTACTTGTAACCCAAAATAAGAACGAGTCAAACTTGAAATTTAAACTAAAATTTAAACAGTCAAATACAACAAAGAACATCAATTACAAAGAAAGAAAAAAAAAAAAAAAAAATTCAAATGACCAATTCAGACAAAAATTAAAAAATGCTAGACCTACCACCTAAAAGAATTTTCAAATAAATAAATAAAATCCTGCGTTAAGATAATTCTACTGATCTTGTGACAAATAAAATGTTTTAATCACATCAACAGTGTCCTTAATTTTAATTTTTTTAAATTTTTTTTTGTTCTCTGGAATTACCATATATTCTTTTATTTTCATCCATTTTTATATACTTTGAACTAGTTATTGTATTGAGGAAGGATACCAGCTGCTGGTCAGCCATTTCAATTCAATTTGGTGACCTAAAAAATAACTGTTTTTGAAATGTTAACTTTATTTTTGATGCAATGAACTAGTTGCCAGCCAATTACAGCTTTTTGGCATTTTGCCCTAAATTAATACATTAGTATTCAAGATATTAAATTTATGTACAATTTTTTTTTTTTTTCTTTTTGTTACAGTAGATGTTTAACATGATCTTGTTTTAAGAGGATACTTGAAAAAAAATGAAAATATTTAATATTTTTTGATTTCATATTGGTATTTATATCTGCTTTTTTATTTTTTATTTATCTATTTTTTTTTTTTTTTTAAGTTTGACCAAAATTGAAGATGGTTAATGTTAAGTGGCTGAGTTGATGTCTAATGTTTGATTGGAAGGTCTCGTCCAAACTCCTACCAAAAGGAATGACAATTTAATGCATCTGCAGAATGAAATACCATCAGATATATGGCTGTTCCCAAAATTGGAAACACCATTGAAGAAAGATCAACATTTTTTATCTGACTTTGTAATTGAAAGCATGTGTGCAGTTTGATCAAAAGTAAATCAGAAGTTGTCTTTGTAGACAGAATGAGAAAAGGGCTTAGAATGTTTAAAAAAAGAAAAGTGTAGTACTACTAAATAGTAGAAAAATAAATTTACTGATTTTTATTATATATATACTATTCAGTAAAAACTTTAGTATTGGAGACTAATTATGTTTCTAGGAAGGATTCATGTTGGGTATGTGTCATATGAATGTCAAATTATAAAGCTCAAGGCATCATTTTTTGGTTAGGATTGACATCGAATGCAAACATAATCTATGTGACCTACAAGCTGACAAATGATTAAAGTTCTATCTTGTTTATAATTGTCATTATAAAAGAAAACAATTAACAAATCCATTTATGTTTGTTTTCAGGAAGAAATGAGTTGAAAAATTGAAAGAGAAAAGAATTTTTGTAAAAGACATTTGTTATCCTTATTTCCCACCTCCTAAACGGAATTAAAATGGATCCAGCCAATTCTGACGGCTCTCCTGTGTTGATGATGGGTCGCAATCTAGGAACCAGCCTTCAACCTTATGTAACAAATGGAAATCATGTCCTAAAGTATGAATCCAGTAACTCTACTTTCTCGAGCAGCAGCACAACCCTAGCCACTAGCTCAACCACTATGACGACGACGACGACATTATCAACAACAACCACCTTTCCTTCTATTCAAAACACAACAACCCCAGCAGCCAACATAGAAGAACATTTCTGCTTACAAATCTTGTACAAAGATATCAGGGATAGGTGAGCTTCTTGCCTTTTTTGAGAATTTTAAAATGGCTAACCAAACAAGTTTATTCCTTTTTTTATGTTTTTATTTTTTTTATTTTATTTTTTTTTATTTTTTTTAACCTGAAATGTAAAATGCTGTTTAGTCTTCTACCATCTTTCAGGCCACTTTATAATTTTGTCAGAAATTTCAAAGTTTTTCTGAGTAAAACTAATTTTAAATTCTTTATCAATTGATATCTTTTAATTGGTCGAATCAATCCTTTGGTTTTCCTCAGGGGAGTTTCTAATAAAGAACTACTGATGGTGTCACCACCTTTTAATGATTATTCATTTTATATGCCCCTTTATTGTAAAATATCCACATATTTCAATAATGGAACTGTAACAAAAACAAAGAATTATGGCTTGTGAGTTGTGTACTGGCGACTTCTCATTGAATAATGTTTCCTGGACACATACAGAAGTTGATAATGATCAAATCAAGATATTAGTTGAGAATACTGAACATATGATACAAATGATAACTAACATCTTAAAATATTCAAATCCAGCTTTTGGAGAAAAAAAAAATTAATAATAAAATAAAATGCACTCTAGGGTGCCTAAACAAAAAAAAAAAAAAGCATAGGTAATGAAAGCCAGAGAGTACAACAGCCAAAACATTGTGATAATAACAACAAAGATGAGGACAATAGTCAGTGTAAATAACTCATCACAGAAAATCAGACAAAATATATTTATTTATAAAAATGTTAAATGAATAATTGCTTTTTTCTTGCCTCAAACTCTACCAACAGCAAAATAGTTTGTTTGTCTTTGCTTTCAATACTAATAATCATCTATTGTTTAAGAATTTTACAAATGGCTCAATGAGAAGAGTTAGAAGTGTTGCATTGTTGATAAAAGGCTTTTGTCTGTTCAGTCATGAGCCAACCATTAAACTTTAAGAAACTGTATTTTATAATAAGCAAAAATACCTACCTAGATTATGCCTCAAAACTTGACAAAAAAATTTTAATAAACTCATTTGACGTTTATCTAAGGAATTGATGGGTTTTATTTTTAATCTAACATTATTACTCTAAATGTTACTTTTCTTGATACATGTGTTTGAGTCGGTGTTCTGTTTTTTTTTTTTTTTTTTTTTTTTTTTTTTGTGTGAATTATGTCTACCAGCCTGTGCATTTGAGAGACTTTATAATAAAGGAAAAAAAAATGTACTCTCCAGCATGGTTCAAAAGAATGTTGGATGAAAAATAGCAGATATTAAATTTTGAGATTTTTTTAAAAAGGGCAATTGAACCTTGCTGGATGTTTTCTGCGGGACAAGCAGTCTAAAGCATGCCAGATCAGGTGGTGGTTTCCCCCTACAAAGGAGGATGCAAGTTCAAACTCTGCCAGAGAGAACCTATGTATTAAATCTCTCAAATGCGCAGGCCAGTAGAGTCACTGTTTAAAATAAATAAAAAAAAAACAAAAAAACAGCAGGACATCTACTTGAACATGTGTATCCAGAAAAATAGCAGTTAAAGTATGAAGCAACTATCAGAATACTTAAGAATATGCCTGAAATGTGTATCTTCTGAAATGTTGATAAGCTCTATAACAATTGTTGGAATTTCTGGGATGAGGAATTTTTATTTAGTCAGATTAATTGTTACGATCATATTTCATCTATTGTACCCTTTGACGTATATTTTCATTATTTACTTATCTTGTGTGTGGGTGTAGTGGTGGTGGGGGGTATTTCAATCTGTGTAATCTTCAGGGAATTTCAAACTGAACACTTTATTTAATCTATTGGGAGTAGATTGTTCTCGTTCTGCTGTTTGTGACTTGTGGTATCTTAACTTGCTTAGTTATTGAATTCCTACTCTCTAGCCCAGTGATTCATCTCACAATTACTATGCCACCAAAATCATAAACTAAAGTTTGAATTCTCTAAGCTATTGTCTTGTGGGACAATCTTAAAATTTAGAACTATGCCAAAGGCATGTCAGAAAAGGGTGCAGAAAATTTGTGATCCATCCATCATTAGGATGATGTTCAGAAGCAGCTTCATCTTACAGTAGGAAACATTACTAAAAACTGTGTATTCCATCCCTTGCAGTTATGGCAAAAGTGAAAGCAGCCATAATTAGGGATGATGGCAATTCTTATCAGATGACATTTGTTCTGGTCACAAAAGAAAATACAACCAATGGAAATAGTAATTATCAGAAAACATTTTTTAAAATGTTTAGTGACTGAGTAATGAAAAATTACTTTCAATTTTCATAAAATGAAATTTCATTTAGAAATAAAAGCATGAAGCAGATATATTTATTTTTATTATGATTCTGATTTATAAGCTTTTTCTGTTTTTTTGTTTTTTTTTAGTTTTTTTTTGTTTGTTTAGGTATATAATAAACTAAAAATTGTTCAAGGCAAAGCACTGCATTTCAAATCTAAGCAGAAAATCCATTATCTTATAAATGTAATAAAACTTTGAATTTGCTTGTTTTTTTGTTTGTTTTTGTTTGTCAGTAACCAGAAAATTCAAGATTATTTTTCAATTTTCTTTTTATGGTTTTATTTTAATTTCTGTTTTGAGCCAAGTGTGTGCATTACTTCAAAATAAAGCACACAGCTTCTGAGAAAAATTGCAACCTGTCTTTAAAGAAAATCAATTAATCAAAAATTATTAATAAAAACAAATTTATAATGAATCTCTTTAGTGTTGCTTTAGTTTTGTGTGCTGATGAATTCTAAAGCCAAATGAAACCCAATCTATAATGTGAAATTTAAAACCAAGAAAACCTCAAATAAAATGTGAACTTAATATTTCATGTAGCAGCATCAACCTAGAGCCTTGCTATATAAAAAGTCATATTTAATATTTGTTATTGTCTACTATAACCAATTTTAACAACTAGTTGTACTACTCCTACGACATTTATATTTTATCTTTGTTTCTCTCCACAGAGTTAGAATCTGGGATGTGAGCATTCTGATTCCAAATGTTCTATTTATGCTCTTTCTTCTATGGCGGTTTAAAACAGCCATTGTTAAATTGCGGAATAGTAACAGTCCCATTTACTTGGTGTTTTATGCTTTGGTAAGTATTGCTTCTTTTGTGTTTGGTGTTTAGACATGAAGGAGATTTTGAGGTGTTTAGACATGAAGGCGATTGAGGAGGTAACAAAAATGGTTTTCAAATGAAACACAAAATAGATATTAAAGAGTTTTCTCATATTATTTGATAACATTTTCTGGCTATTTTTGTTTTTGTTTTATATTTAATGAATAAGCTTGAGAATAATTTTGACAATGCCACACTCAGCAACACTGAAACATTTGAAGAAAAACATTGTGCTGGATTTTCAGGTTTACTCTTAATCACCAACTTTTTCTACTTTTTTTTATAAAACAAAATGTAACATTAAATGGAACAGATTTTATTTAAAGTAAGAAAAAAAAAAAGAAAATCACTTTGAAGTCAGTTCATTTATTTTTTTTTTACTTGAAAATATTTGACATGAGTTTAAATGATGTCTCATTAAGATACATTAATTTTTCATTTTTTAAGAACTATTTAAAATCAAGCTAGTAAATAATGCATATAAAAATTTTATTCAACTTGAACTGAATATTGAAATTACAACTAAAACAATCTACCTGTCATTTTGATGTAAGCAAATCTTTTTATACATTTGACCTCTTAACTGAACTTTGCTTTGTAGATTAGTGTAAAGTGTTATTCTCTCTTCTGTCTTAATGTTTTTTTGTTTTGTTGTTCATGTTTTTTCTTTTTTTTTCTCCCTCTCCCTCTCTCTCTCTCTCTCTCTTACTTAAGTTACATGTGTGAAATATTTAAAGTTGTTCTGAGCATATCATCTTGAAATGGCTAGAGTTTTAAATGAATCCTCAGAAATGTCAGTTAAAATCTTTTCTACTGCTTTATAAGAAACAATGGAAAGATTATAAAAATCCTTAAACTGAATGTGTTTTGTTTGGGACAATTTTAGGCAAAATCCCCTTACCAAATTTTATAAGTTTAATTAAAATTAGTTAAAATGTGAATCTTTTAAGTACGCGTTATTTTTTTTTTGTTTTGTTTTTAGGGGTAGGGGACACAAGGCCACATGTTTATAATATATCCAGTGATGGTGGAACTGTTAAGTAATCGATTAGCAGTTTTGAAACGGTCTCTTGCTATGTTAAAGGATTAAGTAATTTTTCACATTCACAATTTAGATAAATCAACACAAAATTTCCATTTCAAACTCAATTTGTGTAATCAGTTTTTTATTTTAATGATATCAAATATTTTATCTATTTTTATTTTTATTTTTTATTTTTTTTTGTGTTGTTGTCAGTTTTTCTTTAATCTTAAATTTAGATTTCTTTTATTCCTATGACCATTTGCTCAGTTTGCAAGAGCTTCAAAAGCATCTCTATCACCTTTTGGGTGATGAAATACTTTCCACTCTACAATCACTTTCCCCACAGATGAAATGTTGCAATCCTCTCGCTCTAATTTTTTTTTTTTTTTTTTTTTCATGGCATGTGTTCTGATAAGCTACATTCCTTATCCCCCATCTCACAACTGGGACCTGCTATGCCACATACACAAGTGTGAATCATCTATATTCCCTTTGTATTTCATTAGTAAAGAGGAAGTTCCATTTGGACAGCCTCTTCCCAAGAACTGCTGCTTTGTGGAACAGACTCCAGGAAGGATGTTTTCCCACTCATTGTAATCTTGACCTTTTCAAGTCTAGGGTTAACAGTTATCTTTCCCATGAACTTCACTTTTTGCCTTTTTTATGCCTATGCAACATTGCCACAGTAACCATCTACCTTGAGTGGCTCTTGGTACTTGAATTGTGTGAACATTAGTATTAAAGATTTTGGAATTTACCCTGATGTTGATGGCAGCATTTTCTTAGTGCTATATTATCTTTTCTATTTTTTTAACTTTCTTTTTCATTGGAAAAAAAATAATATACTGAAACCTTACAGAATTTTGGAAAAACTTCTTTTTTTTTTTTTTTTTTTTTTTTTTTAAAGAAAGAAGTCAGGAGTTTTTCCACACTAAAATGTATTATCTACAAATCCTAGTTGTACATCATTGACTCAATACAACATGAGGTTGACAGAATTTTGTATATCAAGATCTCAGTAGTTATAGTAATGACAGTAATTATATACAAAAAGATACTTATGTTTTCAGCCTTCAAAATTTCATTTCATTTAATTTTGGGAAGTGAATTTTAATGAGAACTTTCAGCCTCCACTTCTAAATTAATTTTTTTTTTTCCTGTTCCCTTATTTTTGTGCATGCTTTGCAGTATTTTTTCTCTAATATTTAAGAGAATTTTACTGTTATTGACCAATTCATTAATTTTGTTACTAATTTCAGGTGGTGGTTGTTGTGTGCATTAGTATTCTTCGGTGTATTGTTGCTATGACAGTCAATGCATCAATGGAAGCTGGGGATGATGCTGATAAAGTAAGTAATCTCTCTCTTTCTTTTTTTTTTTTTTTTTTTTTATAAGAGGAAATGAATTTCTGGCATTCTTATCCTCTCTGGTTGGATAATATTTCAGTTTGAATTCAATATGTAAAAACATTAATTTCCTTTCTCTGAGAGATTGAAGCCTACAGCTCTATCAGATCTGTTTTTAATCTGATTTATGCACTGATGATCATGTGTTCAGGACTTTGACTACAATTAAATATTCACATCTTCTGGTGGCAAATCAACTGTCTATTGATCCTTATTCATTCAGTTCAACCTGTTACACACAGTGTGTATGTATGCACATACATACACACATATATATGTGTGTGTGTGTGTGTATATATATATATATATATATGAAGAAATATAGTTTTAAGTTGTGCTATATTTATGGGATAAAACTTCTCAATATCAGAGATAGAGCATATGTAAATATAAAAGTGAACATTGAAGTCAACACTCAGAGGTGACAGGCTGACGATTACGTCCAGCATAAAACAGCCTGTCACCTCTGAGTGTTGACTTCAGTGTTCAATTTTATATATATGTATAATATGACTCTCCTGTCATTCTTAGAACCAATAGCCAGACTACATGCACATATCATTTGATTATAGTGGTGAAGACTTGTGCAGAACTTTTTGGAAAGTTCAAATACATAGAACTGGTGCACAGTATGTCACAAGGTTCCCCAAATGACCTCTGCAAGTTTTGAAATCAGAGTTGTACTCCTCCTAGACTGTATGTCACCCAAGGCTATAGGACTGAGTCTGTCCTGTTATTTACCCATAGCTGGTGGGGTAGAAGAGATGATGTTATCTCATAAGTGAATGTAATGAACTTGACTCAAAGAGAGGGACCCCCCCCCAATAAAAAAAAAACACTTCAGTACCCACCAAAACGGTCATAAATAAGATAATGATTATTTTGCCTAATAACAACAACAAAAGCTGTACCCATGGAAATTCCATGGAGTTTTTATAACATAGATGTTTAGATTAAATTATGAATGTAAGTATCATTTACTCACTGTCAGGATTGACGTCATATGTATGCTTGTTGACAATTTTAATTACTTCAATGAAGATTCTTAAACACCAAGTGGAGGAGAGGTGTTTGAAAGATAGATTTATTTATCACAAAATATTTACAACAGCTTACACTTCTAAATATCCATTTTCAATACAGTCAACGAAAATTTTCAATTTATACAATTAAATGTTCTAATAAAGTCTGTGGAAATTGCTAATAAAATTTCAATTAGCCATGAACATGCATATGAATAAGTTATTTTTTTCAATTCTATAGTTTAGTCAAATTCCGGGAAAACATTCACAACTACAAAAATGCATCTTTATTTATGTCGTTTGGTGCATAGATAAATGTCAAACCTGGTAGAGGAACATATTGTTTCAGAATGCAAGTTTAATGTCAATTTCAGTTTTCATCAGAATTGGAATTGATAACGTTTAATTAAACTCTAGTTAAAAAAACGAGAAAGGTAAATTGTTCAGCAAGGGTTACAGGTATTTAGAGAGAATACTGGATATACTGAAAACCTAGATTTACACAGAGTGATCGTTTATTCAATATATTGCATGGCTAGGGTTTCAAGTACCCTTTAAGTTCTGACTTTATACTCCACAAAAAACTCACAGTGTGTGTTTGTTTTTTTCTAGGTACATATGGAGAGGTAAAGAGACTAAGTAGATACTATTACTATATTTAGAAAAGGTAGGCAACGTAAGGTTTTAGTTTTTATTCGTAAATTGACAAATGGTTTATTTCTGTTGGCTACTTCAGGAGTTTTGGTGTCTGTTCTATTTGCAATTGAAATTCATAGTAAATTGGAACCCTCCCCCAACCAGAAAATAACTGTCATCTCAAATTGGTTTCTCACACTGCTACAGTTGCATATTCATAGTGATTCCTAGTATCCCATAAGACTTGACTTTATATGAAGAAACCCTTAAGAAGAATGTTTTTTGAAGAATGCTGATGACGTGAATTTGTTTAAGGTGGGCTTCAACTTTTTTTCAAGACCTTCCTGTGTGGCACATATAGAATGAGTGTTACCTGGAGAATCCAGTTATGAAACTGCAATGGACTCTGTTATAATTTTAAATGGTGCCTTCTGTAACATGTTCATCATGCATAGTCCTTATCATCTGCTGATTCAACTGTTGAGATCTGTTGTAATCGTCATCCACTTATTCTGCCATTGGGGTTAGCCACACTTAGTTTGTGTCCTCATCTTTGACGCCAACTAATGCTTACCTTTTACTTAAAACACAATGAAAATAATGTTTTATTTATACACAGTACTAGCCTGTGAGGTGGAATGACAACGTAAAAATTCTGTAATTCTACCCCCTGTCCAAAAAAAATATGCGATAAAATAAAATCTGAAAAAATATGGGTGACCAGCAGTGCAATAATCCAGAATTAGTTATTTATATTTAAAAATACATTTTCTTTAACCAATAGTTTAAGAATATTTTCTATATGCTTTTTTAAAACTTAGTATAATGAATAAATTTGAAGGCATTAAGATGCTATGAAAACTAAAATATAGCATAAATGTAATTTGCTAGGTACCACCAAAATGGATACTTTTTTTTTTTTTTTTTTTTTCAAAAATGAAAAAAAAAATAGTTCAGATGAAATTTTCACTACTTATTCATTAATGGCTGAACTTTGTACTGAATTTTTTTTTTATTTTTTATTTTTTTTATGATAGGTTACAATCCCATAACTTTGATAACTTGTGTGTACTTTTTAATGAGTAGGCGGGGGTCATCCGATCATTATACAGTTTATAAAGTAAAGTCCCTGAAGATGTTATTTCAGCAAAAAATAAAATTACACAATATCAAATGTGAACATGTGAAAAATTTGGCCTGTATCTTACCAAAAATACTTTAAAAAAATTTTTGAATTTATACTTGAATAATTTAATTAAATATGTTATTTTTGATTAGATAGAAAAAATCTACACTTAAGATTTATTTAAAAAAAAACAAAAAAAACTTGTAATTTTTCGGTGCAATTTTGAAATTTCACCCTTTGCTATTTGTCACCAGAGTTTCTTTCATTAAATCAAGATGCTTGAAGATTAAAAAAAAATCTAAATATTGAAACACTGGTGCCTGTACAATCACTGAAGTTAAGTAACGTTAAGTCTGGTCAGTACCTAGATGGGTGACTGCTTGAGAATACCAAGTGCTGTAGGCTTGGATGTGTGGTTTGCATAGTTGATAATGGCTTGCAATTGTTAATTAGATCCGAGTTTTAATTCCAGTTGGGTTTGTTATATTCGCTTACGCACAAATACCCTTTGGAAAGGTATGTATCCAACTCCCCCACCCCCCAGCTATGGGCTAATTAGACTTGTGTCACTAAATCATTATTTCCAAAGAAAAAAAAAATTCTTACAATCTAAAAATATTTTCTAGTTTTAAAAACTTGCAGTGGATTGATAAACTGGAGAAAACTAATAAATCAAAAAAAAAAAAATGTAAATTTAATGCCATTTTTGGGTGAATATTTAGTGAAAGAATTTGAATTTTTTCATTTAAGCAACTGTTAGCTTGTTTTTGCTATGGATGTAAAAAAAACGGCATAATTCTGATATCTTGCTTTGACTATTATCCAATATCGGAGGAGTATCATGAATTAATCTAATTTCATATCTCCTGTTAAGTCACTTATTTGTTTTGATCAATCGATTGATATGGGTGTTTTTTTTTTTTTGTTTTTTTTTAATATTTATTTCAGTAATTAAACGTAAATTGTTAAGTTTTTATTATTTTAAAAACATGTCTTATTTTTTCCTGCATAATTTGTTCGACTCTCCACCAAGAAAATTTTCAGAATTACAATGAACCTATTTCTTTCACATAAAAGAATACTTTAGTCTAATTTTTAAAAAATTTACTCTTAAAAGGATTTTCTTTTCACATTAATCTAACACAAATTACATTTACCATAGATTTTTATTTAGTAGTGTCTTAATGACTTCAAATTTATTAATTTATATGAAGTTGAAAAAAAAGTGTATAGAATTAAAAAAAAAAAAAAAATTGTTGAGAATAGTCTATTTCTGTCAGGTACTTCTCTGCTCTGTTTACAATAGGAATTCAAAGTGTTTTGATCGGGAAATAGCCAACCTCTAAAATCAGTTTCTTATACTGCTATAGTTATGTATTTGATATATTTCATAGGTGTTACTAGTATTCGATAAGACCCGACTTGTATGAAGAAACACTTAAGAGGGTGTCGTTTAAAGTTTGCACCAAAAATATTCACAAATGTAGATTATATACAATAATACAAACCACAGACTTTCTAAAATACAAAAAAAAAAAAATTAATACTACATAGATGAAGTTAGATTATTCCGAATTAAGCCAGTGTTCAATTAAATAAATTTAAATTAATAAGGTGTCATCTTTAAATAATTAAAACTATAAAATGTTGGTGTTTACTTGTTTGTTACCTCCCCTCTTTTTTATAATTTTAACTGCACATGTTTTAATTAAGAAATTCACATCAATTAATATCTATTGAAAGATGTCACCAAGATTTTACTTACATCAACCCTGGTACAATAATGTAATTAATAAATACTCCTTTACAATATACTTTTTGATCTAGATAAAAGATTTTTTTCTGAAAATATATCCCCCACCCCACTCACATGCTGAATTTTCAAAGACCTACATTGCAGATTTTAAAAAACAGATTTTTATCTTGTATTGCAAAGGAGCACAGAAGTATTTTGTATAATATTTTTAATAAGATAATCCATTGTATAGAAAAATCCATTTATTTGTATAGTAAGTCATAAATTACAACTTTAATGCTGACTTAAGTGTTCCTCATGATTTATGGTATATCATTTCTCCATTTTTGCTATAACTTGCTTCTATTCTATGTCTGTCTTCAAAGCCAGTATTAAACAATCTTTTCGGCCAAGATTTCTTCAAAGAAATTTTAAACAAATAAAACTAATTCTTAAACAACAGAAAATAGATTTTCTATCAATTGATGTTTAAAAATTATCAATGTTCTTTTAAAATACTGTTAATTTTTTTTTTTTTTTTTTTTTTTGTCTGACTTGTTGAATTCTTAATTTATTGAAGCTGGTATGGCTTTCTTCTCGAATGTCAAAATATTTTGTCTCTTGTACTCTTCTCTGACTAGCTTTGTGTCTCTGTGGTCATTGCTAACCCCCTGCAAATTTCAGACCAGAAAGATAAGGTGATTTTCATTCCATATTAGAGATCTTCTATCAGTTAATTTGTCCTTTTTATCATGTTGCTTGTCTCTTCCACTGGAAAAGAGTAGTTGACCATTTTGCACTGGTAGAAGTAAACCCTGAATATTAATTTTTGCAAATATTTAATGGTGTAGAAGAGATTTTCTCTCAGTACCTGAAGAACATGAATTAACAGGAAAAACTGACATCTCCCAGCATAACATTATTAACAAGAATGAGCTGAAAGATATCTGTCTAGTTGACAACTATGAGAATCAGGATGTTTATAAATTAGAAAGTGCTGAGACTACTTTTGAAGAGTCAAAAACTATGCCTACCGAAATTCACTTGTCATCATGGTATGCTCACCCTCACAAAGGCTTGGACTTGTAAAGCAGGAGAGAGTCGTGTATTATTCACAAAGTAGTATAAATATGCAGTATGTATACTTACTTTATGTACCTGCACTTATATATTCACACACACTTTTACCTCCATGACAAATACATCTTTAAAAAAAAGCCACTAGTTAGTGGTCAAGACACCAGCTATAATCTAAACAATTATGGACACTTGATGTATTTTCACTATTATCAATATAATCTCCTGTGTTTGTAGATTGTGAATTAACTACAGATTAGTAAACTTGATTAATTTTGTTTCCTTATAAGCTTAGTGGTGTGACAGTTCCTTCTGCATGTCCATCACTGCACAATTGTGATGACATCCAAGGTCAGCTGTATATGCATATACACCCGACTCTCTATGTTCACAAGTTCGGCTGTGATTGAATTCAACAAAAAACACTGACAAATGCTTTTCAAGAGGCTGATTGGGAAATAGCAAATAGTACAATTTCTTACTTAACTGGCAATGTCTTCCTCCATCTTAGAATTTCTGGTCACGGAAAGGGACCCTGACATTCACTGACAGTCTCAGCAAATGCTGACTCCTTACTGGTCCCTTCCTCACTGACTGCTCCTGACTGATTACTTATTATATGAAGGCCAGCTGGGGTCCCAGCACCCCTATTCATCCACTTGTGTTCCAGAAAAGGAGACCACCCATTCAGCTTTTGTGTGGTCAGTTTTTTTAAAGAACTATACTTTTATGATTATCTAAAATCACTAACAAAATTTTATGTTTGCCAATTCAAAGGTGAGACACAGACATTGTTCCTGAAAACTGACCATTAAATTGTCTTAAAAGATGTACTGGAGACAAGATTCCTAAGAAATTCTGATAATTGATTTAAAAGGAAAATTTCTATCGATTGATCGAAATCATATTGCTATAGTGGAAGAGACGAGCACTTTAGGTTTAAGGCTTCTCTTGTAGTTGTCACTAATTTTTTCCAATAGAATTTAACTTCTCTCTAAACGTGAAGCAATTGTCATTTGGGGGGGGGTAAGTGGATATGGAAGTTTTTGTTGTTTTTTTTTTAATCATCTTAAACTGTAAATCAATTTAAACCTACATATATTTGTAAAAGGGTTCATCTATGAAACTCCAGAGTTGAGGTGCTGAATATAACATCAATCAACAAATATATATATATATATATATATATATATATATATATATATATATATCAAGAACAGTATTGGAGAAATTGCATGACAAAGTGGGAAAAAGAAAGTTTGTTTCGTCTTTCAGAACTTCATTGGACTAAATTTGTTATCTTTGTACAACTACACATGTGCACAAACAAGGGGGTGCTGGAAACGTTTCAATTTTTTTTTTTTTTTAATATCCAGCCAAATTTGTTAGATTCTTTTTCTTTCCTTCACTTTTGTCAGTAGGTATCTCACACTGTTGATAGATCTGCCAGGATGCACATTTACTGTGGATGACCTTGCGATCAAGGCACTCTCTAGACATTTGCCATAGTGAATTATTTTCTCCTTTGATAAGGGTAGTATTTTTTTATGTTAAAATTGTGATCAGTCTCATGATGGGCATCCAATGCATTTGACATATTGTTTTGTAAAATATCCCTTTTGTGTTCATATAATCTTCTTTTAGATTCCTTGAGGTTTCTCCTATGTATCTTTTTTTTTTTTTTTTTTTTTTTGTGACAGTTATTATAGGCAATGGAATAAACTCCTTCAGGTTTTAGCTTATTGTATTGTTTAGTATTGACTAAGTCTTTTATTGTTTTGGCTGTGGTTGTAACACATTTTATGTTGTTTAGATAGATTCTTTTCAATTTTAGATGTGATAGTTGGTAGAATAACAATTTTTGATTCATTGTAAAATAATTAGGGTACTGGAACAATTTGGTCCACAAGTAAACTTTTTACCCTTTGTCATGCAATTCTACCCCACTATATATATATATATATATATATATATATATATATATATATATATTAGTTATTTAGACAGTAATCTTCATTCAAGCATATTTTATTAAATAATATAGACATATGTCTATTTTTATTATAATCCTTTGTAGTTCTCTAATTATCTTTCTTCTTTGGGGATGGATTATGAAGACAAATTTAATGAAACTGTAATCACTGTGCTAGTGACTTTGCAAACACACATAAATATACTCTGCTATAATTATTTTAAAATTAACTGTTGTGGTTACAACATTTTGTAAACAGGCATTCACAGTCCAAGGGCGATAACCAGAGATTGTAAATGGCTAAATTGCAAAATTCTGTTAAATGTAGTATATTCAAATGCATTTTAAAACATTGCTACTATACTCATAATAAATTTTGTTCAGTGTTGAGTGGTTGCTTTTGATATAGAGGGCATCAAGAATATGAAGCTATTTATTTTCATAGGGTATATTGGTATTGTCAACAAGTATTTTCCTGTATTGTGAAAGTGGACAGGAATGTGTCTTTTAAATGTTGTGTGATAAAACTTGTACGTGATAAATAGAGTGTAAGACGTCTTCATAATGTTAAGTACTTGGGTTAACAAAAAACAGTGCCTCCTTGATGAATTTCAACTTATCAAGAAGATAATTAGAGAACTAGAAACAATTATTATAAAAATAGACATAATATGTCTATATTATTTAATGAAACATGCTTGAATAGGCATAGTTGGATCTGTTCAAGTTCCAAAATAAAGTTAAATAAAACCATGCTTGCAACACAATGCTACTTCTGACATGAAACACATATATTTACTTTCCCATTCTATGTCATTAATAACTGTTGCTATGAGCACGTTGTGTATTTTAACACAATATTGAATGTTGCAGTTGTAAAAAGAAATCTCAAGGGACTGACACATATACAAAAATAATACCCTGTCCAGTGGCAAAAGCTGGTGGTGGTGCAATACTGCCTTAGCTACCAAAACTTTGTTACCTTCCCTGGTTGGTGACTGATGAGGGCAGGGTATCACACATGCTTTCACACATTGTGTATGTGTGTATAATGTATGTATGTGATGTGATGTATTTTGATGAGACATTGTATTTTATTTTTCATTGCAACAAGAGCTTTTCATTTTTGTATTTTTTTCTCTCACAACATCCACTATATTTTAATTACAAATGTGAAGTCTGAAACAGAATTATCCTTTTTTTGCTTTTTTTTTTTTTTTTTTTTTTTTTTTTATAACAAAGATTTTTCTATCCACTTACTGAAATTCTCTTCATGCTTTTTGGGTAACAAATTTTATTTCCTATATTTCTGCCTTTTTCTTTTTTAACTCTATATTTACTTCTGCTTCTTTTGCTTCAGATCCTGTGGCTGATTCTAAGATTCTTCCTGCTTACTACTGAACTATCTCTTGTCATTTTTGGCTTTGCCTTTGGTAAGTCCTTCAGAATTTAATGTCTGAATTTCTACAATGACAAGTTTTCATTATTTGCAATATTTACATTTGAACTCCTCAGTATTATTACCCCAATGTTTCAGCCATTGTGCTCCCTGGCCATCATCAGCTGCCTGTTGATCTGGGTAACCTTCAATTTCAGTTTGAAATTCCCTGAGCATTACCCAGATTGATAAATACCTGAGGAAGGCCAGAGGGTACAATGGTTAAAACTTTGATAACAAAGACGAGGACAATAGTCTAAATGTAAATAAGTCCTTCAGACCACTTCTCTATTTGCTCCTTGCGAGATGAACTTTATTTTTGTTCACATGAAATTTAATTTTTTAAAACAAAAAATGCATGCATCGTCAATAATGGCGTGAGACAAAAGGCTTTTGGGGAAGGCTTTATTTTTTTTTTTTTTTTTTTTTGTGGTTAACTGAAAGATTATGAAAAAAAAAAAAACCCCTAATTCCTCAGTTAACTTTTTTCCTCTTGTTTTTGAATTCTGTTCAATGAGGCATTTTGGTTGCTTATCATGTGATGGTTAACAATGTCATCTTGCAAACTAATTAACTAGCAAAATGATTTCAATCCTCTCTGCCTACTCAATTACTGTGGCTTTTTGTACCAAACTAAAGTCAGCCTAGTAAAGAAATAAACTAGATAATCTGTTCTTCTTGGGAAGACTATGTTAGACATTTGCATTTATTAGAAGCTAATTTGCTTTCCTCTTAACTTTGATTCAATTTTTTTTTTTTTTTTTTTTTTTTTTGTTTCAATGTTAAATTTTATTTTCCTCATTGCTTTTATTTAATTATTTAACATTTAGGTTATTAACAGTTTATTTAAGAAGGGAAACTTTCATCCCTATCATAAAATAGTTTGAAGTACACTATTTGATAATGGATAAAAGTTTTATATATCAGTAATTGAGAGTGTACTTATATTAAATGAAACTTGTTTCTACACCACCACCCCACCACTTATGTCCTCTCATTAGATGAATTCTTTCTCTTTTTGTAGGCCATTTAGATAGTCGAACCAGCATCCAAAGAGTTTTGATGGTCACATCTGCAATTGCTTTGATTTACTCAACAACACAGGTAATTTTTTTTATAGTCTTTGCTTATGGATAAGTTTTGATTACCTTTTTGTCAAAAAGTGTTTCACAAAAAGAAATAATAAAAAAAAAAAAAAAAATGTGTTAATTCTATCTCAAATAGTTTTCAAACTTAATTTTTCTCTTCCGTGAATTACATTTATTAGTTTTAAAAGAATCTTTTCTTTTTTGTTATCATTTTCTTCAACTCAATGAATCTGCAATATGTCTTTTGTTTTCCATTTGCAGGGTGTTCTGGAATTCCATCCTCCTTCCAATACAATCTTCAATAACCATTCCAAAAGAGATTATGATCTCTTTGGTCATGGTGGCATGGAATTTTGGTTTACAAGTTCTATGTTTTTTTTCTTAGTAAGTTTTCAATTATTCTTGATTAGTTTAAAATATATTAAAGTAGGTTATCCCAAACTGGCCTAGTTTATGGTGTGAAAGTAGATCAAAATAGGGAAATTTCCTTTTAATTCAACTGGCAATATCTCTAGTATTTTTTAAAGTTATTTTGATAAAATTAGCATGTAAAGAATATTCAATTTTTTCTCTTTATAAAGATACAATTCTTTCTGCTGTGTGATAATTAGTCTTTGTTTCAGGTCTCTTTAAATGATGTTGCGTTTCACTGACGAGTGTTTCTTTTTCCACATTTTAAAATTAGAAGCTTATGTTTGTTTTGAAATTTGTTGCACTTCAAGTTGTGTGTTCCTACACATATCAAAAAAAATTCCCATCTTAAAGAAAAGAGGAAACTCATCAATTTGGTGGGCTTAAAATAAAATTTGACGAAATTTTTCACAAAAAATTTCCAAGTAGAAAACTTCAGTAGATGAAATACCAGAGAAATTCACTTAAAAAAACGTAAATTACACCTACTTATAGAGCAATGTTTTGCCTTTAATAATCAGTTGGTTTCATATCACAAAACAACTTGAAGCATGAGCAAATGCAAAAGGAATTGTTTTTGAAATTTTAATTCGCTGGCCACCCTGACCAACATCTGATTTAGAAAAAAAAAAGTAAAAAAGATCCGATTTGTTTCAACAATGGACATTTCACAGTTTCTTGGTGAGTCTAAATATTTTTTCTTATATTTCTTGTGTTTATTCTAAAGTTGTATAAAGTAAATTACTTATTGTGTAAGAAAATAGGCATTAAAAAATAAACTAAAAATACATCTTTTAATTGAATTTTACTCACTCATATTTGTCCATGGAAAAAAAATCTTTATGGAAAATAAATATAAATTTTTAATGTACATAGACAAATATTGTATTTGTCAATGGAAAAAGAAGGAAAATTTGTGCATAAAAAAAAAAATTGTAATTTTAAAATGTGTGTGTGTGTGTGTGTGTGTGTATTTATAATTTATTTTCATAAATTTTGCATTTGTATACGTAAAAATGTCTATTAAAATTTATATTTACTAATTTTTGTGATTAGCTCCTAATTTCATGGGTTAAATTAAACATTTATTTAAGTTATTTTTAATTAGACTTGATACATTTTATAAAAAGTAGAATAAAAGGATATTTTTCAGTTGAACTATTGTGGGTCCATAAAAATTAGATATAATTTCTAAAGTTAAACATTTTTATTATTTTAAATGGATATTTCTTGGAAGATATTTTTTACTTGTAGCATTGGAAAATATTTTTTACTTTTTTTATCAAATTTATTTTGAATAATTTTTGATAATTAATAAATTTTTTTTTTTTTACATTGAAAGTAGGTTTTATGGCAATTTTTAACTTTTTAAGCATATTTTTAAATTTTAATTAACAGGACATTTTAACACCTAATTCAACAATAACAATTCAAGACTAGATGTTGTCATTCAAAAAAAAGAATGTGACTTTAAAATTTTCAGTTCAAATATTTTTATATAAATTTTTGATTATTGTATTTTTTTTTTTTTATTTTTTTTTTTATATAAAGCAAAAAGACTAAACTTATCAAATTTAAGATTTTTTTTTTTTTTTCCATGCCTGGGGATTACTTTAGGTTTTTAAATTTACATGTACTTATGAATATTTACAAATCATCTGTTCAGTAAATGATCAACTAAATGACCTCAGAGATTGTTTTCTTGTAAGTGAAAAAGAGAGGCAGGCCAAAGAAGACCTCAAAGTCCTTGCAATGTACAGAAAGCTTGCTGATGCACTTAAAAACAGTGTATGATGAAAAGGAAGTAGAAATCAGTGGTGGTAGGGGGTTAATGGTATGGCAGTAACACTCGGTAATCTGAATGCATTGCTGGTCAAGTTTCCTCTATTTTATAGCCTAACTTTTATACGGGAAACACTTAAGTAGGTGAAAAGCTCACAGGTTTAAAAGACAATTTTTAACAAAAAAAAAAACAATTTTTTTTCACAAAATCTTTTAGGAGCACTTTTTTTTTTTTTTTTTTTTTTTTTTTTTTCTCTTGTGATACAAGAATTGTATGCTTTTTACTTGCAGGTTTTTGCATGGATCTGCAAACTGTCCTAATACAAGGATGGAACAGTTAAGATTGATGAAGCAAGTTCAACATTTAACACAGCCAAGAAAATTTTAGCCACTAAAGAACAAGTTGACTGAAGAGCTTTTTAGATTCTTCCCATGATGCTTTCTTTTTTTTTTTCTTTTTTTTTTTTGTAGCTAATGAACTCATTGTCATTAAAATTACTTTACAGGAATTTGATGACCCAGTGACTAACTCTGGTAACTGTGATGAAGAAGAACCATATCAAGTAATCTTCAGATATGAGAGACAAGGCCAATGGGTTGCCATATGCTATGATTCCAGTATCTACATTGGCCAAGTCACTGACATTACATCTCCAACCAATGCAATAATCAAGTTTCTAACTCCAACTAAGGGTAGAAACAATTTGTTCCAATGACCTTACACAGGTCAAGTCAACTTTTGTCTTAAGATGGGAGTTAGGTTTAATGCCAGTTTCAAGTGATAATAGAATCTGGAATGTTCCAGAAATATTAATTATAGAAGCATGTGAAGAATTTCAGACTTTGAATCACCATTAGGAGATGAAGTGCATTAGAACCATTCAAACTTTCCAGAAAGTCTTTTCATCATTTCCAATAAATGTAGTTTTTACTCATTTCAATTTTGTTGTTTTTTTTCGTTTTTTTAAAAATTGAGTTTTAAGGCTTTACAATAAGCATTTGTTTGAAATATTGACCACTGATTGCTTTTGTATAACAAGTTTTAATGTTATCAGTCCTTTTTGAAAGTCAGAAATTGTATAAATTTACAAAATTTTCAAAAATCAAATATATTTGAGAAAAAGTTTTAACATTATAAGCAAAATAACTCTAGGTAGAGGGTTACAGAGTAAGGACATTTTATGTGGATAGGTTGGGGGGGGGGTTGAAACAATTGTTAATCCTAGATTTGAACAAGTGAAGATTGTAATCATAAGGAAAACATTCTCTTGAGAATTGGTTCCACAGTGCAGCGTTTTGGTGGAAGCTGCTGCTCAAGTGGAACTTCTCACCAAAGAGATATGGAGGGATTGAGAGTGGTTTGCTCCAATGTGAGTGGCAGGGCAGGGTCCTAACCATGAAGGTTCTAACTTGTGGAACCAAGGAATACAGTTTGTCCAAGCACTTTCCATGTAAGAGGCTTATCCCAAGGGATTGTAGGGTGGAAAATAATTTGTCACTCACAAGGATATGGAGAAGCTTTTGGATTCTATTGAGTCTGGAAAGTGAGGACTGGGCAGCACCAGCCCATATATGGCAGCAGTACTCCATTTTCAGACTGATCTGGCTCTTGTAAAGGAAGAACATAGCATCAGGTACTTACTTGTGTGGTACAGAGAACTGATCATTTATCTTGTATCCTTAGCAATGGATCCTATGTTCAAATTCCACTTGAGGTCTGGGTGAAGTCACTCAAGTCACAGGGCCTCCCCAAGGGGACATCCATTCATCGTGACTGGTGGTAGGTAGTTCAGGGTCCAATTAGTGATGATGGGAGGTAACTAGTTTGGTTTTTGAGGCATTGAATGTAACCAGCCATTTTTTCCCCCACTGAGATGTTAGAGCTATATCAGATGAGAAATCAGCTGCCAATCTTTAGTTTTTCGAGGTGCACCCATATATCATTGTATCATCAGCATAAATATTCACAAATGATCTGAGTATACACTTAGGCAGATCATTTATGTAAAGTAAGAAGATAGTTTGTCCGAGAAGTGACCCATGGGTGATGTGCTTGCATTAATTGCTAGGGCCCTGGATGACTGGCTATTAACAACTACCTGATAGGAAGGACTTTGTTACTGAGAAGACTTTTCCAGTGATTCCTTAGAGTTTGAGCAGCAATCCTTTTGTGTTACACCTTGTCAAAGGACTTCAGAATATCTAAGTTCTTTGGGTGTATTTGTTGTCTAGTACCTCACTGATTCTGTGAATGATGATAGGACAGTGTATCAGGCTGATCAAAACCCATACTGCTTGCTAATGATACTCAGGAGATTGATGGATCTATACTGAAAGGGGGTGAGTGTTCCCCTATGTTCTTGAAAACCAGGCATACTTGACACCCCACGAGCTTGAGAAGGATTTCTTCTTCAAGCAGCAGTTAAATAACTCCACTAGCATTGGGCATATTTCTGGGTTAATATTCTTAAGGATGATCTTTTGGATTTTATCAGGACCCGAGGCTTTCTTAGGGTCATGTATTTCGTAAGTCTTTAGACTTCTCGTGCTGTAATGCAAATATTACTGAGATTGTGCCCAGTGAGACTTAAGGGGATGTTTTTTGTCTTCTAACTTCTGAATTCAGGGCAAAAACCTTTGCCTTATCTGTTGGAGAAGATATGACATTGGGGGTCATTTATTAAAGTGGGCACAGCTACTTTGCCTCTATTTATAATTTGGTTGGAGATCTTCCAGAAATCTTGATCCTATTTGTTTTTCAATCTTGGCCTGGACCACCTGTGTATAGCTACACTTTGCATTTTCCAGAACTTTCCTATTTAACAGAATAATATTATTTTGTAGAAGAAAATAGTTGATACCAAGAACCTTATGAGAAAATACAGAAAGTAAAGGAATTAGTGCTTGGAGTTTTGGAGAGAAAAAAAATATCATGAAGCAAACATGAAATTTAATATCGCATAACAAAAAGTTAAAGAAAATGTAAAAAAAAAAAAAAAAATTCAAGGGGAGTTAATTCAGTAAATATGAGTTGATTCTTGGATATTTCATAACTGCTTAATAAATAACTTGACACCAAGCAAAAACTTTACTTGAAAACATTAAATGAACTTAACAAAATATTTTGAAAACAAAAAAATTGTTGGATATTAAGTATAAGGAGAAAAAAGTTTGATATTGTAATTTTTCAGTTTGTTTCCTTTAATAGAAGTCTTAAAATGATTCAAATTATTTCAATTTTTTTCTTTGTTCCTAATTACATTGAAGTGCACAATACAGTACAGCATTTGTTTGATATGTTTTTTTTATTATTCCAAAGTTATACATTTTAGAAAATCATTGTCATGATAAAGCAAAATCTTGTATTTCCTTTCAGGTGTATACCGTCATCACCCTGTTACCATATACAAGATTCCGCCACAGATTGCCTTTGCCATGTAAGTACCAAACTACTTACTTTCTAATGCAATGCCAATATATTTACATTTTTATCAATTGAACTTAGTATTAATATGATACTAATGCCATTACTTATTTCATCCAATTATCTTGATTGACGCCTGTATACCGTAGGCAGTGGTTAGTATGCCATTGTTAGTTTATTTCTCGCTGAGTATTTTATGCATTATACTTGTACAACAAATATCTGTATCATTTAATTGCAAAATTACTTTGTCTTTATTCATGATTATTCACTTTTAGCTTAATGTTTTATTTTTATTTTCCTTCTATATAAGTTGAGATATGGATGTCATACATGGCACACAACCCATTAAAAAATGTCTCAACTGTATATTTCTCAGAAGGATTAAAAAAGGACATTGGGTGAATGAAGCACATAGGTCTTAGAGAACTGTATTTCTTCAAAGCTTATGGACTGGTGCTACAGATTCACAAACAAAAGAACTACCAAATAAAAGAATATCACTTGAGGACTTTCAACAGGAACAACAAAATGGATATCACATGTAAATCAATGCCAAATGTTTCCTTATAAGGAAATGGCTAATATTACCATTGTATCCTGTCAGCTCAGTTTTACCATTGCTATGCTACAATGTTAGGCAAATTCTCGAGAAACAAATGCTAGCCATTGTATCCGAAACTATTTAACTTGGCAACGCTAGTAAATGGTTGGTATATCTCCTGTTGTTCATGAGTGACCAATCTCTAAAATCTAATTATTTTCTTTAATTATGAAGAGCTTAAAATGAACCCTATGGCTGTCTTACTCAGAAAATAAATAATCTACCCCTTTAGGTTAAATAAAAAGTTGAATTCAAAATTCTCTGAAGGTTTCTTGAATTGACAAATGCCTGAAGAAGGCTAGAGTGCACAATGGCTGAAACATGATAATATCAAAGATGAGGATATTAGTTCGAATGTAAATGAGGTTGCCAATCAGTTATACTATATTTGCTTATTTCTGAATACTTACCATTGTTTATCGTGTATTTGTAGCCAAGCGAAGCTTTTATTATTATTGCGGTCTGTTGGCAGTTCTGAATTGTCTTCAAGCACTTGGAAGTGCACTGTTGTACTATGAATATACTTCAGGACTTTGGTAAGTTGTTGACTTTTTAATACAATTGTTCAATCTGGGGTATGAGATATATTTATTTTTTTTAATGTAAATTCTTTTTCTTTTCTTTTTTTTTTTTATTCAACATTATTTCTTATTGCTATAAATGTTGATCAAGCCTTGCTTTATCATGAATGACATGCTTTAGCCAAAGGAGGGACTTCCCTGATGGAAAATAAAGATACCAGTTCAATTCCTGTTGGGAGGACAATTTTCTTTAGCAGGATCTATCAATCTAGGCCAGTTGATAATAGACTATTGAAAGAAATTTAAAAAAAAACAAAAAACACTGATGTCAAACATGCGTTAAAAGAAAATAGTAATTATGTTATTTTTTTTTTTTTTAATACAAGCTCAGCTTTACCTAATGCAGGACCGAGAATAGTAGTGGGTAAGTGTGTAGAAAGATTTGTTGCTCCAGTCTTTCAAGTGATGCAAACCTCCTTACCTAGGAAAATTGGCCTTTGAAACTGTGTTTTCCTTGGGTTCTAACACCTTTGACAATGAGAAATGCACATATCCTCTAACCAGGCTAAATAACACTTTTCACATCCATGTAAATTACTAAGTATGCTGCAATGTCTTTGGCTTGACAGAACTTTTCATCATTTTTTTTTTTTTTTTTTTTTTTTTTTGTAAGAATCCTGAAAATCTATATTAGCTGATCAGCCAGATGCCTAAGCGCTTCTGATCATTGCAAAATAGTTGTTTAATTCAGTTTGTTTGTCTCATGAAACCTCTTTGAAGATTTTTTTTTTTATTTCCTAATTAAACTTTAGATACCATCTCTCATAAATCTTGATTGCATCAATTTAACAATCTCCCCACTTTTATATCTGAAGTCATGAATCAAATAAGGGATTTATAATTCTCTCCATTTGAAGTTTCAGATCCAATATACTTTGTTCGTTTGTTTAGCCCCAGGTAAAATTATAAGAAACACCTTTTTTTTTTTTTTTTTTTTTTTTTCATTCACCTATGTGTTTTGAAGTAGGAGGTTGTCATTATAGTAAATGAAATAAGAGGCTATGGTGATTCCAGCTATGAAAAGAAAAATTATTTTTTAAAATATTGTGTGTAAATATGGTTAGGTTAGTCGTTTTGAATTGACTAGTCATTAGTAAAAAGGGTTCTTTATCTTAATTTTAAGACTATAATACTTATTCATGGCTAGAATTTCAAATGGCTTGACTTTTATATATATTTATAGCAACAACTTTTATAGTATTTCTAATATCAGAATATTTTGAATTTTTTACCTAGCTCATATACAGTGACTTTTTTTTTCCTTGCTCCAAATTATAAGATGTTAGCCACTGTGGAATTTGAATGTTTGAACTGTGCATTTTACAGACTTTCACTGCTACTTCTTGTGAACTTGCTTTGCCAATTCTATTTTCTATGTTGTTACTTAAATTATATCTATTGATGGTTCTCCTCTTTATAGCAATGTTCCCTGACATTTTACTTTTTTTTTTTTCCTCTATCATCCAGAAAGCTTTATTTGATATTATTACCAAAGAGGTAAATTCTCTTGCTAAAAGTGGATTTGAAATTTGCATGATGTATGATGGATTTATGTTCATGAATTTTCATTTAAATATAACCAGAATTTATATGTAATTTATCAAACTTCTGTATCAAGTTTTTTGGGTTTTTTTTCTGGATGTAATGTCTGATTGAAATGAACATTGCCTCAAATGGATGAGGACAAGTTCAGTTTTCATAAGTTATAATTTGCTTTGTTCTTTGTGTTGAATCTTTATTCTGTATTGGACAGAAGTCATCTCATTCCTTTCATGGAGAGAATCACTTTAATGGTTAAAGAAATGAACAGTCTGATTTGACTTGGGGTGCTTTGGATTATGGCATATAATACTTGTAATTATTGAATGCTTTAAATATTTGATCTTGAATTCGTATCTTGAATCTTTTAAAGTAGAAACTTATTAGTTAATAAGAAAAACAAAAAAAAAAGATCTTAGATCTTCAAGTCAATTTTCCCTTGTAAAAATTACAATTATCAATGTATTTATATATTTCCTGTCCCATCTGTAGTGGGAAGGGAAGTAAATCAACTTAAGTTAATGTATTTATAAGTGATTACTTCCCTAGGTTGTTTTAATACTGAGATACCTTTGTCTATTACATGATTTTGCTTCAACTTTGTCATTCTGTTGCTAATCTTTTTCCTCAGAGACTTCCATTTCACTTTTATATTAAACACAAAATTTTAAGAAATTTTATATATAAAATAATAATACCAGGAGTAATCAGTGAATCATAGATACCATTGAATATCTAAAAAAAAAAAAAATGAAAGGAACAGATTAATTAAACTGTTCATCAGTCTCTATTTTAATTGGGAATTCTTTAATTCAAGACTTGATCCATTGCATCTCAATATTAAAAATTTCTAACAATTGTCGTAATTTTTGACAGCACAGATAGATTAGTATATTTCTAAAAAAAATTTGATATTAAACAACTTAATGGCAAACCCTGATAGGAATTTTTTTTTTTTAACTTTGAGGAAAATAAATTATGGAGTTATCTTGTATGAATATTCAATCTTACTGTCAAATCCTACCAATTTCCTCCCTTGATTTTTTTTTTTTTTTTTTTTTTTTTCCCAGCATTGTTGATGTGACCACATACCTGTATTTCTCATTTTTTGATCCCCTTGTGTATGGAACATTCCTTGAAGAACTTTTTGTGTGAGTATTGAAATTCAATTTCTAAGATTAATGCAAGATCAAAAATATTTGGCATTTACATGCATGTCATTCTGTTAAGTCCTTTGCCTAACTTTCTTTTGCATAGAAGAGCTAAAGTATTGTTATTTAATATATTTTCTCTCTCACTCACACACACACACACACGTTCAAAATTATAACATGCATATGTTATAATTTTGAATAAATATTTTCTCTACTCTGTAAGTGTTTTTGGTTATTGGGATTTTATTCCATCTGTACCAAGCCTGTACATGGTGTGTGTGTGTATATATATATATATATATATATATATATAACCTCCAATGATTTGCTAAAAAAAACGAGAATACATAAAAAAAAAAAAAATGCTCAAAACTTAAAAAACAGTTTGGTCATCAAAATCTTTATTAAGATAAAAGATCAAATGATTTTCTTATGTAAATTAGTATAGAGAAATTTGAGACTTTTTGCAGTGGAAAATACATTGATTTGGAAATTCTTACAAAAATCAAATAATTGCTGGAATTTAATAAAATTTTCAGAAAATCTTGGTAAATATTATTTAATTTGATGTCCTCCAAAGAGGACTACAGCAAGCAGCTGTTTTCTGGGGCAACATCTATAACCCTTTTTTATTTTCTACCTTTTAAGATTGTACAGAAATGATTACATCATCCTTGGTATAAAATAACAAAATTGAAAATCATCAATTTTTTTTTAGTAATTTGATTATCAAATAGTAATCTTTATTTACTCTGTTCAGTTCTCAAACATTTTAATCTTTAGTTATGTTCTCTTCAGTGGCTAATGGGTTTTCTCTGCATTAACATTAAAGGGATATTAAAAAAAAGATGCATAAGAAGGCAGGAATTTAATTTTTTTTAATTTTATTTATTATCAAGTCAATTGTGCCACTAACGTTTCTTCTTGGGTAAAAGTCAGCATCAGTGACTTTGTGGTTTCATCTGTTATTTCTGAGAAGACACAATTTCTCCTTGGATCACACTTGCCTGTTTAATTACTATAACCAACAAGAATGACTTTTTCCAGCTGTACCAACGTCATAGTTATGATCATAACCCACGCCTCCTTGTATCCACTCATAATAACTGTAAACATGTCCTCAAAGAGGTCGTCTTTGTCCACTAACAGAATGAGGCACTGTATAATCTAACAAACTGGTTTTCAGGATTACTGGCAGCTCTGTAATAGTGTGTTAAATGAGTAAGTCTTCTATCTTCACTTAGTTTATGGTGTTATCATCTTGTTGATAAAGCAGAATGTTTTGCTTGTAAATTCTTTTCCAATTCTATTCTTGACTCTGGAGTATCTTTGACTTTCCAATTAGAATTGAGTCTGTGTGATATGCATATAACTCCATCCATGGTTTCCACTATTATCTTTAAATTGGATCCCCACAAAGTACATAGACTTGATGGAATCTCTGCAATAGTGAGCTCCTGAACTGGCTCCTGTTCTTTGAACTCTACAATAAAAACATTGCTACTTGTTGGAAATCCACTTCTGTAATTCTTGTCTTTAAGAACTTTGGCAAACAAGCTGATCCTTCTATTTTCCTATTAACCATCTACCTCTTTTTTGCAAAATACTAGAGACTCTAATCAACCCTGAATTCATTAAGTCTATCACCTCACAGGGTTTTCTTTCAGACGTATAATATTGCTTTCACCTCTCTATATCAACTACTGATGTGTTAAGCTATTGCTGAAAAGTCTATTAAGCTTGAGATAAAAATGAAGCTTCTGGCTGTTGCTTTGGATATCTCTAGGACATTTGACAGGGTTTAGCATGATGGCTTGAGATAAAAATGAAGCTTCTGGCTGTTGCTTTGGATATCTCTAGGACATTTGACAGGTTTTAGCATGATGGCTTGAGATAAAATGAAGCTTCTGGCTGTTGCTTTGGATATCTCTAGGACATTTGACAGGGTTTAGCATGATGGCTTGAGATAAAAATGAAGCTTCTGGCTGTTGCTTTGGATATCTCTAGGACATTTGACAGGGTTTAGCATGATGGCTTGAGATAAAAATGAAGCTTCTGGCTGTTGCTTTGGATATCTCTAGGACATTTGACAGGGTTTAGCATGATGGCTTGAGATAAAAATGAAGCTTCTGGCTGTTTAGCATGATGGTCAAAAGGTTATGGTATTTCTGGATGAATTTTTGATCTGATTCAATTTTATCGAATCAAAAAATGAGAGTTGTCATGAACAGCCACTCTTCTAGAATTTTTTTGCATTATCCTATCCTTGAACCTATGTTGTTCCTAATTTTTATCAATGCCCTTCCTGATGTCATCAGTTCTCAACTCTCTAGGTCATTTTGACATCAACAATCTGTTGTTAACAGGTGCAAGAAATGGCTTCTTAATTTTAACACTTTCAAAATGAAACTACTCTTTTAATCATCTTAGAGAACCTTTGCTTTTCATCAGCATGGCTGATGCTAACCTCCAAGACTCACTGCACCTTCTCAGGCTAACATGAAGTGGAAAGATTATATTGAATTCAATCAATTGTAAGGTCTGCTGCTAGGAAAGTGGGTTCAGTGTCATGCTAGACAATCTTTCTCACCAGTATCATACATATTTATAAGTCTATCATTCACCCATGCATTGAATATTGCTGCCACATCTGGCCCACTGCTCCTGCTATATATTTAGAGATTCTTGATAGAAATCCAAAGAAGAATCCAAAATGTTATTGGTCTTGACCTGGCATCTCAGTTTCAGTCACTTTTCCATCTGCAGAACATAGCTTACCTGTGGCTTTTCTATAACAATTTTCATGGTAATTGTTGATGTGCTTTCCTCTTTGGTACCTCAACATTACAAATTGAAGCACAGTACTAGATTAGCAGCTAGGTCTTACTTTACAGTTGAAATACTACAGTTTCTTTCACACTTTTCACTCTTCTGGCCTCTTGCTTTCCAGTCAACCTTGATTTTTCAAAAATTTAAATGCAATGTCAGTCGTTATCTTCAGTCTTAAATTCTGTTCTTTTTATTGTTCTCTTTCCTTAATGTTTTTCTTTTTCTCATATTCTTTCACACTCCATAACTCTTTGTACCTTAGTGACTTTATTACCTTGCTTGGGATGAAATGATTCAGTTTTGGTTGGTAGCCAGTCTTGAAGAAGGAAAATTCTGAATTCCTAAACCTGGGTAGATGCAATTTTTTAATGTGGGAACACATTGTCTAAGTGAAAGAAAATCCTGACAGAAAACCAGCCCTTCTTCAGAGGTTATGCGTGAGGCCAATCACTGCACCCTATAGAACAATTCAGTTACAGAAATCACAAAATGTCATATGTACCCTGAGGCACCAGGCAGACAACAATAAATTTTGAGTATCTCTAAATAGCCTAATTATCTTAATATTGTAACAATGAATGTTAAGGTGGATTCTTATCTGACATCAAATATTATCTCTGCAGGTGTCCTATTTTGCTTTTAATGTGCAGTAGATCACTGTAAATTAAAAAGAAAATGACTTTAACTACTTTTGCTGAAGATGAAAAATAATCTCTGGCCATATTCCCAAATTGTTTTCTTATTCAACCAGAAATATTTCTCACTTTTTTTTTCTTTTTTTTTTTCTTTTCTTTTCCAGGAGTGTTAGTCCCAGTATTCCGTTCTCCTACCGTCCACAGTTGGACGAGGCTGGAGAGGAGGACTCTGTGAATATCCCTTGCCATGGGCCCCAGGTGAAAGTGTATGCAGATGATGCAGGTAGCGGTACTGGCAGCTACGACAGCACTCATTTTGACAAGCAGGTGGGGTTTAATCCGTCCCTCAACAGTGTCCCCACCAACGTAGCCGCCACTACCGTTGGAGCAACCCCTTCCTCTCTCCCTGTGGCCAGCAGCAACATCAATATTGCATCAATGATGCCGCACGTATCCATCAACAGTGACTACTATCAGAGCTATTCTTGAGAATTTAGCTGGTCTTGCCGAACGTCTTCGGTTCTGGCATTCTACATGGCAAATTGTTATTAAATGACTCTATAAATGACATTAATGGTGATGAATGAGGAGGAGAAAGAAGAGAAATTGATTTAAGAAACAGAAAAGGCAAATGGTTTCTAACAGTGATGACATAGAAATCAACACTGCATTGTGACTATCAGTTTCATGCCTTAACTGATCACCAGACCATTATTTAACTAATGAACTTTGCTGTCTCCCTCCTATTTGTGCAATATACTTGCTTGACTGTATTTTTGTTCAATACTGACTTTATAGCATTGTGAAAGACTTAGTTTTCACAACATTATCCTTTTGAGGTCATTAAAATGCCTTAAAAATCAAAAACACATTAATTTTTTACTTAACAGCAATGGAAAAAAAAAATTCTTCAAACTAGGTGCAAGGTTAACTCATTGTATTAATGAAGCTTCGATATATAAAGAAAAAGAAAAGTATTGATACAAATCACTACCCTGGATCCCTTCCTCCCTACCAGAGCATAAAACATAAGGTGGTTTAAACTTTTTAATGAGTCATTTTTGGAAATGGCTCGACTTATTTCTGTTTTTAAAGTGCTTTTATAGTTCAGTGAGTTAATGAAAACTTTCACTTGTTTCTTTTGCTGATCAGGTCAAACCAAAGTTTTTGTCATAACTGAATTGTTCATTGTTTTCACTTGCACAATACGTATATGCATTATCTGCTGTTACTGTATTAAAAGAAAAATATTAGTAACAATAATAGGGAAAAAAGAAAAAAAAATATTTTTTATTTTAGATGCTGTGAAAGTGTTGTTGTTGTTTTTTTTGTGTTTTTTGGGGGTTTTTTTTTTTTTTTTTAAAGTATTTCCTGTCAAATGTGTAATCTTTGTATTGGCACATGTATTTTTAAATAGCGGCAATGAAAAGTATTTAAAAAAAACAAACCACTATCCTGGAGATTTGATGTTAAAAGCTGTTTAACTCAGTTTTACATTTAAAAGTTTGTTTTTTTTTTCTTAAAGATCAGTTGAAATTTGGAAGTGTAAATATTTGTAAAAGTGAAGCTAATTCTTTCCAATGTACTTATTTAAAAAAAAAAATGAATGTGACTAACTGATTTAAGTAAGGAATATCCTAAGTACATCAATTGACTATTTGTATAGAATTGCATGTACTTCTGCACAAAAGAAGGAGCAAAAATCAAGACTTTAAATAAATAAAAAAAAAAAAAATCTAAAAATGGATATTTCCCAATGAGGTTGGCTAAAAAGTAAAAAAACAGATTTTCAGCAACCAATGAATGGAGGCAAATTTGTTAGATGACAACTTCTTTAGAACTTCAAGATTTACCAATTTTTCTCCATTCCTCTACGACTTGTTTTCTTTTTAATCTTCATCTACTACTCTCTCCACTTTAGTTTGTTTTTTCTCAATTTCATTCTCATAAAAAAATTAAAAATACTAGAATTGGAAAATAATCTCAACTAAAAATAAGGCTTATTCAAAATTCTGATCAGTGGGTATTTTTTTGTCTTGGGTGGGAGGAGCTAAAATTTTGCTTTTCGACAAAGTCTTAGTAAATGTTTTTTTTTTTATTTTATTTTCCTTTCAACACGCATTAGACTTAATAAATTCCCTTTGTGTTTCTAAAGAATATACTCTTACGCATATGAACTCAATGCCTTAGAGATCTGTTTACTAAACAATTCCATTAATAATTATGTCATAATACTTTTGAAAAAGATTGAAATTTCTTTCTTCATAATTTTGCCATTCTTCTACCAGAATTTTCTTTTTATCATTATATAGGCAAAAATATTTTTTTTACAGTTATAATTTAATAAGGTACATAAGGACAGTCTTCAGGCATCTCAATGTGATGTAATGTTTAGCAAGCTTGTCAACAATTACGACTAGTGAGTTTGATCCTCACTCGGATCCCCATACTGTCAGTCTTATGCCAGATGTAAGCTATGCTTAAAAAATCATAATGAGTTTTACCTCCTTTAAATTTCACACTATAATTATTATGCTTAGAGGTGACAGGTTGGCACTTAGAGGTTATGATTTCTTGAATATATAATTCAAAATTCATAGAAATGAAAAACCCTAAAAGAGGAAGGGTGATTACAAAAAGGTGATATAATTATATGCATATGTTTTAAGGTATGCTATATTTATAGGTAAAAGTGCTGAGTATCTGGGGTAGATCATAGGTAGATATAAAAGTGGACAGAGGTCAAGACCAATAGGTGAAAGTCTGTTTTATGTTGACCACACACGTCAAAGTGGAAAAGTTTTTTTTTTTTTTTTAACTGTGCGTGACATGTTAGGTCTTGCTTCTTGAGGTTGGGATGAAAGACAACTATGTAAGTGCGGGAGGATTCCATTATGCTATTATACATCCTATATATATATATATTTATATATATATATATATATATATATATATATATATATATATATATATATATATATTTGTATATTTAGGCAGCAATCCTTCCTTTATGCATGTTGCATTAAAAACGACAGACAAGGTACTACGGTTGAGCTTTTTTTAATTTTTTATTAATATTAGTAGAAAACACAAATATATTAACTGCATCCACTTGCAAAAAAAGACTAAAAATAATGGAAGCTCTAATAATAAAAAAAAAAAAGCCAACTCTTAACAATATTAACTATGAACAAAGCCACCGTGATTAGGAAACTAAAAACATCACTACCACACACTGAACATACACAGAACACACACTCTACTAAGCTGATATTGAATCATCCTTGATAATGGCTAAAGATATAGCCGAAAAGCGCTCAGAAATACAGAACATTAGGACAGTTCTTACACACTCTTTGTCCAGAAAAAGAAAGCTCTTGTCAGAACACAAGAAAAATTAAATAAAAAGCTCAACCGTAGTACCTTGTCTGTCGTTTTTAATGAAACATGCATATATATATATATATATATATATATATATATATAAGTGAACATAGAAGTCAACACTTAGAGGCGACAGTCTTTCATGCTAGATGCAATCATCAGGCCTAATGATAACATTAATTAAAAAAAATACATTAATAATATAGTGATAATAGCAACATTAAAACTAGTATCTGTGGTGTCCAAAAGAGAGAAAGTTATATTAATCAGGGTCAACGTGTTTGAGTAGGTATTTATTTCTATGTATGCATGCGGTCATTAACTCACTTCTTTTGTTCATCATTAAGGTCATCTATATTTTCAGGGTCATTAACTTCTCAGAAAGCCATAAGCTATATTTATCATCTTTTCTGCTGAAGGGTTTGGGTTTTGTTACGTAATTCCAGATGATAGTTGGGTTTCTATTACTGCTTTTTATTTGCCAGAATAATTTACAGAGGGCAGTGCTGTTACTATATTTAATATTGTCTAATGTCATTTGATGATGATAGAAACATGATTTCCAATGGTTTTCAGTTGACCCTAAATAGAACTTTACCTCGCCACCATATTTGATGTTAGCTCTATAAATTATACATTTAGTCATGCATTTGCCATTTAGTGGGCAGATTGTTTTTCGGCAGTTGCTTTCTTTAATTGTTGGAGTGTGCTTATCTTGTAGGTTGGTTAAGTGTTTGTTTAATATAACATTGTTGTGCTGTGATGTATATTGGTCAATGTTTTTAGGGCAACTTTTAGCTAACCTTGTTTTTATTGAAAATCTTTTTTAGCATTGGAAAATTGATATGCATATGGATTAAATTCAGGGAAATTCTTCCAATGTTAATTTTGAAACTACTGCTAAAAGGTGAGTTAAACCATATGATATTGTGTTTATGGTGTTTCACCTTGTTAATATCTGAGACACTTAGGTTAATTTTATGGTTACTTTGTTCTCGGGCTTCTACATATTTGCTTTTATACTTGTCAAAAATATCCTTATTACTAAAGTTGATGGACAACCTAAATTGTACCGATTTATATGAAGTGTATTCTAGGATAGTAGTTAAATTGTTTGTTGAAGTATCTATGTGTGTATAAACCTTTAGTATATGGTTTATAGAGTCCATTAGATAGGTTCATGGTTACATCCAGGAAGTTGATCACTTTAGTATTGGTGGTGATACTTAGACCGTGCTCTTTAAAGAATTTAATCAAGCTTTTTCTTAGTCAGTCTGTTTTTTTTTTTTGTGCACCTGCTTTATGCAGGAATATTATACCATCGTCTCTATAGAGTATGGTGTTATTAATATCAAAGATGAACCTTAGTTGTCAAAGTATTAGAATGATAACTAATTAAGAAGCCTCCACCATGTCAAATGTACCCATAGCAATACAAAAATCAGAGTTGTTACAGTTAGTTCACAGGCAACCTTCATGGAATAGGATGGGTTTTGGGGCCTGTTTTATGATATCAATGTCCTGGTTGCTTATGGAGTAGTAATTGTTGGCCAGGTATATCGCAGCCATCAGTAGCTCCTGAGTGATAGATGAGTAGAAGTTGCAAATATCAATTTGCTGGTGCTCTTTTTACTTACACTAACTTGACCAATTCTATGTCTATTTAACAAAATCAAGATTTGCAGACTAATATATTAAAAATAACAATTTGAAGCTTTAAAAAATGCACTGTAAAATATACATGATGAAAAGTCAAAAAAAAAAAATGAAGGTAAGCAGAAAAGACAAATGTGTGGAAATTATATCAATTAAGGGATTGGTTGATTATGGAAATCATTTTACATCTTGATTAATCATCCATCAATTATTGATCATCTTCAATTTTTTTGAAGATGATATTGCAGTTCTTTTCAGCCATATTAAAAATGAAATTCTTGCTAATAAGTCTCCCTCTCCAACCACCAATATAGCACTAATCAGCATACCTTTGCTGTTGGAGTAAGAACACTAGTCTCTGTCAATCCATTATTACTGTTTAATAAGTTTCAACATTACTGGATGCTCTTTATATCTAGCCCTGTGTCAGACTAAGCTTAGTACTATTA